TCCCCCCTTTCCCTCGTGATGCTCCATCTCTCCCCTCCGCCCTAAACGTGCCCAGCGCTTGTCTACACAGTAATTAATGTAATTGCTATCAAACGGGCGTCCAGCGGCGTGGCCAGCAGCGCCGTCTGGAGTGTATTGGGATTGTATTGGAGTGGGGGCGAGGGGGGGGGAGACACTGATAGGGTTGAGGCCGGGGCGAGCGGGGTTACACACACCGCTCTGCAAGAGTCCAAAACCATACCGACCAACTATCGGGGCTAGAGTGCGGAACCCGGCGGAACCACTAAAGTAGGAGTTTGGGAATTCGACAGTGAATCGAGAAAAGTCAGGACAACCATTAAGCCTAAATCGCCACTGAAAACCTTTGAGTGAGGTGTCGTTCTCGAAATGAGTGGGACAATTTTGCCTCGCTCTATCAGAGCGAGGACTATAAGGCTTATCCTATTTGAGGCATGTCGTGCACCGAATTATCACCTCACTCCTCACTCTCATAGGGTGAGGACCGCAGTTTCATGATTCAAATTGAGCAGTGAGAGTCAGATTCCTCGCTCTTAAGAGAGCGAGATTTATTGTGTTACTGATCTCGAACTCCTGGGAGTAAGACATCTGACTCTAGCATTTTCAGTGGCTAGCGTCCTAGCTTTCTACACTAATAAAGCCCCTTAATCGAAAAGGGGTATCAGTGATTATGTATGAAAAAATGTTAATACAGTTTAGTTTCAAACACTAGCGACTAGAAATAAAAATATGCAAAGTCGCACCTTTGGGGAGGCGCTAAGGGTTTAGTGCTATTGCACTTTTGACGGTTCGTTGGTGCCTCTACAGCGTCGTTAAACCGGCGTCGCACCCCTCTAGCAACGCTGTGACTTGACACCTTTGCTTCCCCAGGGTGATAAAAAAAATCAGTACTATGGTATTGTCAGTGTTAAAATAAAAACAATCACGAAAACTGCCAGAGAATTTCATGTACAGGCTTTCGGTTATTTTATTTCGAGTTTTTCAATTTTTGCAGCAACCTGCTGAGATGATTTTGATGGTATCGGTCCACACACTACCCACCCCACCAGCCGTCAGCTAAATATGGAATGGACAGTTGTTTGACCAGACAGGGCGGCGCCGGGGCGAGGAGAACCGGCTGCCCTCGTGAGCGGGTCCAGCGGAACTAGTCTTTTCACGGCCCCCGTCCCGTCACTGCCCCTGGCCGACACCCGGCCCGGCACGCTGCTGCTGTGCTGCTGGCCTTTAATCTTTCATCCCCTTCATCAAGAGTCCTTCCAACGCTGCAACGTAGTTTCTTTACCGAGCGGATAGGCCCAGCGGGGCTATGGCCAGCCTGGCCCGCATGGATAGCAGCTGGAGAGCACTACTGAAGCCACTGGAGCCTATGCGCCAACTCCATCGCATCGAAAGCTGACCGCGCAACACGCCCGGCGAGAGGCGAATTCCAGGAAAACGCGATGATGGGGGTCGGCGGCGTTGGCGGCTGTTTAGCACGAACGCGAAGCCGGGCGAAATAAAGGAAATGACGAGCGAATTCGTAGTACGCACGGCCGTGGACGTCCGCGCAGTACGAGCAGTATCATTCCCCTGACAGAACTAAATGCACTTTGGTTTTGCGAAACCTGAATCACCAGGAGGTGAAACAAGCTAGGCCCGCCCTTCCGCCTTCCGCGAAGTGAAGCTGGAAACTCCGTTTGGCAGCGGCCGGGCCTAGCTTGGCCTGCCGGCGGCGTTTGGTCAAGAGTTGCTGATCACGGGTCCAATCTGAGGAGATAATTCCCTAGCACGTAGATTTTTAATTGATTTTAAAGAAAACAAAGCGACATAACCTAACCTGGTCACGAAACCCTTCCAAAAAGATGTTTCGGAGCTGTTATCGGATATATTTCTGTTGATCGTACGCGGGACGACATTATACGAACAATTTACAAAGCAGTTGACTCACCAGAGTAGTAGGGGCTGGCCAGCAGAAAACACAACAATTGGGATTTGACACTAAATCCAACTTCACATTTCACACAATTTCACAAGGTAGCCCTCTCAGGGGAACACAAAACGCGAAAAAGAAATCTTCGCGGATTCACACTTTGGCACAGTAACTACCAGAGAGAAAAATTGCGCATGGGTACGGCGCTCGCGTAACCTCGACGACACGGCTCGGCGACCCGCTCCTCTCGCTTGCTTGTCAGCTGACTGCCCAGCTGCGCTCGGCTGGTTTCGCCACTTCGCCGCTAGGTGGCGCGGATGTTGCCGCCGGAGTAGTTCCACTGTGTGGCGCGTGGTTTAAATCTGGAGCAGAGCCGGAGGATCGTGACAGAGTGCAGACCAGAAAACAAATTAAACAAATGACAGCTGAATATGAGAGAAAATAAGGACATTCATTATCTCTAGTTTGTCTACCGACTTGCCGCGGAGCGACTGTAGGCAACCTGCCAGAGGCTGGGACGACTCGGACTCAGGCGCTGCCTGGGATCAGCTGGAACTGAGGCGCCTCGGGCTGCCGCCGCTCCGCCCCCTAACTGGCTGGAGGCTCCAGTACTCCGGCGGCCTGCGCCGCGTATACACGCTCTAACGTTTAATAGTGTTCTTTTTCTGTTGTGTTTTTTTAACCCTGTTCCACTAAGCGCTCTGGCATTTTACTTAAGACGCTTCTTTTTTGATCACAGACTCTCAAAAATAAAGTAATAAATTAACAGCAAAGTTGTTGCAGAGTTTTCACTGCACAACACCATTGACTTGTCATGTAACAGCGACGGTTGTCAAGCAACAACCAAAATTAGCCTAATAACGGCAAACAAGTTGTCCCATAAAAACAAAACAGTAGTCCAGTTTTATAACAAAAAGTAGTCGGAAAACAATAAAAATTGCTCAGGGGCAAACAAATTTGTTTGTCAATTAGCACAGTCATCACTAAGGGTCGTTTTAACAACCGTTTGGCAGTGTGAAATTGGCGAGGTACAGAATATTGCACGAGCGAGGGGGAGGGGGGCAGGCAGGCACTTTTAGTAAGAAGTTTTTGAGCGTGTTTGCGCCGCTGGCAGCGGCAGGCGGCGGGCCTCGGGGCGGACCCGGCATCCAGCGGCCTCCAACAGCCTCCAGCAGGGCGCCGCCGCTCTCCTTCTCTTTCGCCTGCTTCCCTTTGGCGGCGGCGGACGCCCGCTCCAGAGTTACTCCATCCGAGACGTGGTCGCTTTCCCAAAGCAGAAGCGCGCCCCGCCCCGCCCCGCCCCGCCCCGCCCTGCGCCGCGCCGCGCCGAGCCGTGCTTTTGCTGTCATTTCATTCGCGAGACAAAACATTTTCCTCCAGGGCACACTTGTAAGCCCGGGCGGACGTCTGCAGGCTCCAGAGGCCGGAAGGAAGGACCCCGCCCGGGCAGGATGCGCAGGGCCGCTGCAAACCTCTTCCTCCCTCCTCCCCCGCCTTTGCCTCTCTCTCTCTCTCTCTCTCTCTCTCTCTCTCTCTCTCTCTCTCTCTCCCTCTCTCTCTCCTCTTCCCCTTCATGGAGGCCCACGAGCTAATTCTCCGATCCACTGCTGCTGTCTGGCGGCCTCTAGAGGCTCACAAGGGCCGTATAATTTGAAATGTGCTTTTATTCTTCCTGCGGCTACGTGATGCGCCTCAAAGTGTGCATTGCCATTCCAAAGGCGGGATTCATCGCCTATTTCGGCAAGCAGGAGAGGAAACAATTTTTCAAAGTTCTTCTTGGTTATTAGCAGTTTGAACACTGCCGAACTGACGTCAGTGAAGGATCATCGCCAAACTACTAGCATTGAAGGTTCATCGCCAAAAATCTGGCGATAAAGGCTTCATTGACAAAATGTGGCGATGGTTGGAAAAATCGAAGTTTACCTTCAACCCGCAATACCTTTGGAATTGCAATGACACTCATTGCCGCCGGAAGGTATTACTT